GCTTAGGCTGCTATTTCATACTTCTTTCGTCCTCCTCTTCACTTAGCTGTGCAACCATTTGACCTGTCGATACTAATGTCATATCATAATAATTTGGGTAATGTTTTTGAGCATTCTGTGTACAATCGGACTATTACAGTAAGTCAATGCATTCCTTTTGAAGAATTTTGGTGAATCTTGTTAAATTTTAATTCCATTTTAGATTTATGAAGAAGAAGAAGGGTTTGATACTCAGCTACTTTTTCTTGGAATCCTTGTGAGCGGCATTCTTCTGCTCTTTATTATTGCTGTGTATCATTGGCTTACCTCTCGTGCACGTTCGGAGGCTACACAATCAACGCATCCAGGTACTCAAATTAACAAGCGAAATTCTGAAAACGAATACGCATCCTTGGCTAACAAGACCAAACAGCTTTCAGGTAATATAGAGTAATTTTTACCATAATATTCCCATAATCTTCTTCCACTTTTCTTTACTTTGTTTTCAATATTAACTTTGATGAATCCTTTGTACATGATGTCATAGCTTATTTTAAACCACGTGTTTATTAATATTGCACTTTCCCAGTCTTTATATCTGATATACTTTTTTATGCTTACACATCGCGTCTATCAAGCTAACGCTTACATTCTCTTGAAATTCACTAGATCTCTGTTTCTTGGATTGGGTGCCCTAAGGATGGATGTGATAGCTCAGCATGCTCCCGTTTTTCTTAGACCTTAGTCCTTATATAAACATGGGGCAATGCAGTAAATATTGTGCCTTTTGTGCCGCAATGATTACATTATGGGGAACAAATTACTGGGATCTAGTTGTTTTTTATTTTTATATCTAATTTAGTCATTTTGGCCAGGACGAGGGGTTTTGCCATGGTACCATTGCCAGAACTAGTTAAGCAAGCATACACTTGACAGGGCGCAGCGACTAGTGTTTAATTCCAGAAATTTTGGTCTAACCTTTCTTTTATTGTTAATTTTATGATTGAATAAAGCCATTAGTTTCACATTGTTTTCACTAATTTCACCCCAATGTATAAATTCTGACTAATCCATAATATCTTAGCAGTTGTTTTACTATTATCTATTTTCTATATGACTATTTCAAAACTATGAATTGAATTTCATTTAATCTTGCTTCCCTAAAGGTACCCAATGTTTACCGAAATTTTGATCCTGTTTAGGTGTAATAAGCCCCTCTCGGGGTCGTGAGCATCGTGGTAATGTGTTACACTCATCGCCGTAGATGCCCTTGAGGCGACCTAGGGCAATATGATCCTTTCAATAATCTAGTATTCTAAGGTGATTCACGTTCACTGCTTGCGAATATGAGGTTCTTAGTGTCAGCCTTAATTTTAAGGGGTTTTCAGAATATGGCCTCTGCTTTAACTTTTGATTCATAAATGGAATAGCTGGAGGAACCCTATCGCCACTCCCTATTCATCGAATGTAAATTCAAGGTCATCCAAGCGATTTATTTGTAAGCAAACCAGTATTGGCTTCTATCACATGAAGATCTCCTTCCATT